ACCTACCTACACCGGTATCTAGTAGGTTCTTTACTTCTTTTGAAGAAGAAATAGAAAAGCATTCCTTTTCCCTGTAATTTAAAACATTCATTAATCAACTTTTCATTGGGCTGGACAAGCTTCACGACATTTTCCACACAGATTCATGTCTGCACTGTATGTCCTTGCTCTCAAATTTGAATTTAGGAAGCGATCCAGTATTTTGCAAAAAAAACCCGACAGCAGATTCTAGTAGCAATCTGACAAAAACACCYGAGCTCTCTCTAGTTCCCCTCGTTCAGGGCTTGACCTATGCAGACCTCTTTGGAAACGTATCAAATTGCCATTTGTTCAAAGTAGCTTCCGAACTATTTCACCTTATGCTAAAAAAGAAAAATAAAGAAAAGAACCCACAACTTGTTTGCGGAGAGGAGCAGGGCCGAGAGGGCTGCTTGATAACGTGGAAGAGGCGACCGACAGCGGCCGCTCGCGGAGGAATCGCGCAGACCCACAGCGACGTGTTCCCAAGACAGAGGACTCTGCTGCCATAACGAAGGCTCAGGCACAAAAAGGACTACAACAGAATCTTTTTGAAGAATTCAGCTTGCTGCAGAAAAATATGCAGCTACAAATTCCTCCTTGAGCTAAAATTAGGATCTCAACCCATATATACAGCAGTGAACTTCAAATAAAAGGAAGCACGACTGTAGCTCCTAAACTGTAATTACTTACTGCTGATATCCATCATTTGAATCGCTTTTCATCCAGGGCTTTTTTGAAAGCAGAGAGGTGTAGCCAAAACCCAGGATGACCCATCCCCTTCCCTACATCCTCCTCCACCGGAAAGATACTAATTCAACCAATTCTTTAGTTGTCTAATTTGGGTGACACTCACACCACGGAAAAAAAAAATAAAACTGAAGAATATTGAAGAAAGTAAAGGCAGTGGTTTATAGCAGTGAAAGGACTGCATTACAGTCATGTAATTATTTATCGTTCATTCTTTTGTTCATCCCCAAACCTTTTACTTTGTGATGGGAAAATTACAGAGTGGGGGATCCAATAAATAGAACCTTAAAAGATTCCTGGTCCACTGTACTTGTGTCCTCCTTTGTTTAGGCCACTCACATCCCCTGCAATTTCTGTTTTTTCTTCTTATGAATTTTAACTGTATTATTTCACAGAAAAAAAAATGTTCCCTATATCTGCATTTCATCCATACTGCAGAAAGTCAGTTCAAGGTTGTCCTTGGCACTTCAGCTCCACACTCCAAGGCTTGGGAGCTGCTCACGATGCGGCTGGGAGGGAAGGAAGGAGAGCTCCCATCTGTAGCCAAGGGTCTCCCCACCAGCCTTGAGCAGGCAGCAGAGCCACTGGAACATGGAYCCAAGCAGCTTTGGTGGTCTGTATCCAGCTCAGAAGAGCACAGGATGTCACATATAAAGTGACAGTTAATGTGGTGGAGAGAAACCACACGGCAACCACCGACACTCAATATATGGAGCTTCCCACTTGCTTTGGTCTCTCCCATCCTTGGATACTTTGCAGAATACTAAGGCTTTGTAAAAGGGAGAAGAGTCTCCAACCTTCAGCAGCACAAGTGCGTCAGGTCTTTCTTTATCAATAAAAACATTTCACAGCCAGATTGTTCTATTGACCAGAAAGGGCAAGATAAATGAGATTCCTGTCTGAAACTGGAGCAAACAGGAAGATTCCCAAGCCTCATGGAGGGATGTTTCTGGATTGCTTATTGCTCTTTGATGTTAGTCTTACGTAAAAGCAGGGTACTCTCCTTCAAATTTCATTTTAGCAGTAATCTTGGTTGTAGGATCTTTTCTTCCAATGAAGAAAGGAAAAGTGATGGGTGCGAGAAGAAGACTAACCTAAGGCTAGAATCCCATCATGTGTCCTCCATAAATGGCTGAATGATAAGCAGTCCTTTCACAGCTTCATCCAGCAGGTAATATACAGGACAAGGAAAAAAGGAAAACCAACAGACATTTACATGAATTTAGTTTGATGCGTTCTTGGTACACAGGAAAGTTTTCACAAAAGTAGCTAACTTTTAATTCTTCAGTCAAGATTCATTGGAATCCTTTAATTGCCAAAATATTTACTGCTAAGTCGAGGGTAACACCAGGCACAACTGCCTCACTCTGAAAGCTCYAGTACACTGGTTTTGTACAGACGTGGTGTACTAGCATATGCGTTGCTGCCTTCTGATTAGTAAGAGTTACCTTTATTTTAAAAGGAGGATCAGGAAAATTAGGATTGACAGAAGCTTCTTCAGACTCCACTGGAAAYAAGAGAACAAACCTTTTTGTTTGTTTGTACTGCTCCAGGCAAACAGTATTGCTCAGATGGGACCCTGTATCTTCTAAGCCCTTGAGTGTGGGGACACCAGGTCTCTGAGGTGTTCAGAGCAGCTGGCAGCAACAACCGCCACTGCTAATAAAGCAGCAAAAAAGGGATGGTTAAAAACTCCAAATCCCAAAAAACTAGGGAGCCACAAACAGCAGCTAGCAACGGACAGGTCATTCAGACTCCCACAATAAAGAAGGGAAGCCACAGAGGAGCCCCAGAGCGCGACACTGCCGAGGGATCCGCAGGCAGGCGCCGAGGGGAAGCGCAGGGAGCAGGGCCGGCGGCGGGAAAGGCTGCGCTCAGCTGCCAGAGCTATGGAGGAGGAGAAGGAGGGAGCCGCTGCGGGAAGAGTCGCTGTGGTAAATGCTGGGCAAGGCCGCATGGTAAACGCAAGGCAAGGCCACACACCAAGGCCGCACCCTGGAATGGGAAAGGGAATGGGAAACGGGAAGGGGGAAAGGAAAGAGAAACAGGCAAGGAGAACGGGGAACGTGGAACAGGGTAGGGAAAAGGGAACAGGGAAGGGGAAGGCAGCGCTCGCTGCCCTACAGATGCGGGGCGCCCTGTCGCGGGCCGCAGCGGGACAGGGCCACAGAGGCGGGGGCCGCCTCGCAGCCGCTCCACAGGGAAAAGCCAACATCCTCGTTCCAAAAGCGAGGCTTGCCTTCCTGACAGCAAAGTTCCTAAAGAAGGCTTTGAGTTTTCCCGCTGCTTCTGATGGTACGTTACGCCTCCTGCTCAGGAACAAGATTTCTCCTTCCTCCTCTTTGGTTTCTCTTCTTTAAAGTTCTAAGAGTATTGTTTTTCCACTGTAAAGCTCTGAATAATATTTTCAAAAGTTCTGGCTGCCATGTTTACTATATTCTGCTCTTTGCAGCACAAGCACAAAAGGAAAAGAATTGCCTGAGCACCTGATTATACTGGAGGTGTTGCTGTTGGAATAACAAACCAAAGGCTTTAACACGTGCCAGGCTAAACCAGGCTTCACTTCGCTGCAAGACACAGGAACTCTTGAGCAACCACCTAAGGCAGCGTTTTTCCTTCCAGTTATTTTGACATAAAATTCAATTTTTTATGTTGGCCCCACATTTTGACTTCCTAACCCRTTGCTGCCTTTGGCCTGAGGGTGCTCTGTGGTTTCAAAGGCTGCTCAGCACCCTGGGCCTCTTCCCATTTGGAACTGCAAAACAGATGGATTTGTAACGTGGAAAGGGGATTGATGCTTTGCTGTACGTTACAATAATGGATTAACAACAACAGTGTTACATTATTCAGCAAACAGCTCCTAAGGAACTCAAGAAATTGCTTCTAAAAGAAATCACAGCTACCCCAAAAATGACCACCTTCTTTCACATTTAAGGTAAGTACACTTAAAACTGAAAAAATCATAGAGATGTTGACCACGACTACTGATCTTCTCCATATCTTTCTGCATGATCCATAGGGAACAGAAAGCATCCCTGGTCTCCACTTGCACTCTGCTTTCACAGCCATCCTGAGGGTAATATGTGGCATATATGATGACAGAGGTAGAGATAGGGTAAAAAAGGACATCTGCTAGCTGTCGGCTTGCTCCACTAAGGCCAAAGACAGAAAAAAATCTAAATATTCATTATGTCAGTTCCTGTAAGTGAAAATAGCTACCTGAAAACATGAGCAATTTCACCTGAAAATCATGTTTTTGGAAAAGTTTCAGTAGAGCAAGGCAAAAAGAAATCACTGAGACAATACTTTGCTGGGGTTTTGTCCAAATGTCATTTTTCATAGGACTTTCATGATTCTGAGTGTGAAATAGGTGTAAACATCATGACCATAAAATAACATTATAAAGAACATGTTGCAGAAACTTCTTCAATGGAGGCTGATAGAAACAGCCAACACCTGTCAAAGGTACACTGAGTAACTCCTGAGTTAATAAGTCCTGCATTTTCATGATTCTAAGAAAAAACGACTTTGACAACTTCTGCCTAAGGGTCAGGTACTGTGCAAACCAACTACCCATTTTTAAAAGCCTCAGCTTGGCTGTGGAATTAGCATTAACCAATTTACAAAATATTTCCCTTTATAAACTTACCTTCRCAACAACATGTTTCTGCCTTTAATGCTGACAGTATTAAGTGATTTACAAATCATCTTAGATTTGTGAAAAAAAATAAGAAGAAACAAAACAGTAACTTATACAAATGTGTTTGAAATGCTCCAGGCACATCAGAAAATACTGGCACGTTGACATATTACCACACCCACATATAGTTTACCATTGAGCTAACGAGTAGACCCATTCCAGATTTATCTCGCTCAGTTGTTTGACCTTCTTTTTCAATCCCTAACTTAAGCCAATGTAATTCTTTTAGCGTGGCAATTATTTTCTTGCTTTCAAATACCTACAAGGCAAGTGTAAGACCTTATTTCTAAACATAATATTAAACATGGTTGTCAATTAGAAAACCAATTTAAAAAACAAATAGATACCAAAGTGTTCCACAGACATGAACAGAATAAAAACTAGCTAGTCTTTTAATTCACATTCAGGCCTGCTACAGATGAAACAAGCACCTAACTTAGGACATTGAACAGATGGAGATTTATAGAGGAAGTCAGGAATAATACACGTTGTCCCAATCCATAAAATTTCCCAGAAAATGAGCTGAACTTACAGAAAAAGTTGAGTCACTCTTTGAAACGGTCACAGGGTAAACTCCATCTTCTAGATTCACAGACAGCTCCCAGCTACTTCTCTGTGATTTAGCAAGAGGAATTCTACGAAAGAAAAAGGCAAAGGAAGAATTTTTAAGAGAAATTCCCTGCTTCGCCCATTTTCACCAGAAGCATGGTCCTGAAGGATATAAAATACTATTAGCTATGGACACAGTCTGAGAGCATACTTGAAAAAAAATTACTGGATACATTTTTCTGTATGTTAGGAGAAAAGGCACCCAGAGAACCAGCCTAGATTGGTCTTCACACACCAAGTAAACTCATGAAGTTACAAGAGGCCCCTGAGTACAGTCAATGCTGGCTGCAGAATATTAGTTCAAACAGGATGAAAAGCAGATGAGAAAGCAGTTTGGCAGAAGAATGCCAACAGTGAGAGCTGCAGCTTGCTTTCTGAAAGCAAAAGCATAATCACTGCCCCTTTCATCTCATGCTCAGGAAGCCTTAATTAAAGTCCAATTAGACCAAAAAAAAAAAAAAAAAAGGGCCAAACAAATGGGATGCCTCACTTTATAATATACTTTTGATATTATTTCATCTACAGTGATCTTCCAGTAAAGTATAGGTCATGCTAAATCACAACCCATATGCAGGATTATCCCCGTTGCTGCAGCAGCCTGTGCGTGCACTCGCTACCAGTTAATACAAGAAACTTCCTCTTCAGCTTAAAGAATCAAACCTGACAGCACAGAAATCAAACCTGAAACTTTCGATTCGGAGCAGAACCAACCCACTTGCAGCTCTTCTGTTTAGAACGCATTCATTCCTAACTTTTGATTCCACTATCCCCATCCTAACTTCGGCTCCCTTCTAGTTTGTTGTAACGTGACAAGGCCTTCCTGAGGAGCAGCCTTAACACCACTCAGGAAGGTCAGCAAGCACCAGCGTGGCCTGAGGAGGAAAAAAAATGAATCAATGAAATAGGAGCGGTGAAGTTCAAACTCCATTAAGACAAAGGCACATTGTTTTGGTGTGGCTTTTCTTCTACGCTGACTCAATGTTTAGAATTCTCTATAAGAAGTTTGTAAGATCATTCCATACAGATCTCTTCTTAAAAATATTTTCTGCTGTAATGCTCCCCTATTCACCATCCGCAGACCGTGCTCCTCTATACATTATTTTAGGGGAGACTCCAGGTTCAAAAACTAGAACCAAATACTTCTCAGTACTGCAGATCGTGGATACACACGATCCTGAATTTTATTGCATGCAGCCTGCTAAGAATTCCAGGGCACCAGACCTCTGCCAAAGTCCTCTGTCAGATCCACAGGGAGAAGAGCCTTTGAGGCCTCCCTCCAAAGGCCACAGCAGGAGAAAACGGCTGCCTAAGACACGCATAAAATATACAACTAGCAAAGAATTTAGGCAATTACTTTGAGAATGTTGGATTTTTAGGAACCTAAAATTTAGGCACAAGTTACTTGATTTAGGGAAAAGGCACCTTATACCAAGCAAGTAGTTTCTAAAAATTCTGCTTCACAGTTTGCCTCCAGGAGAAAATGGAAGTACTAAATATACCAGCTGGACAAGTAGGGGTATATATATATATTTATTAGGAAATAACTCCATAAAAGTCCTTCCAAATCCATACCAAGCAGAGCCTACACCAAAATTCCCTGAGTATTCCAGCGCGGTTTCCATCGCTCCCCACAAAGCTCCCACACAAGCGACAGTGACGACACCCCGCTCCCCAGCTCCTCACGCCACGAGTTACCCTCTGCCCTAGGACAGGGACAAGGAACAAATAAGCCCACGGCCTAGGGGTGCCCCATGGCGGGGCTCCTCTCTGCTGGCTGACGGGAAGCGCTGTCCATGCGGCAGTTCCTGACGGGGGACAAGGCCGGCGCTTCCCAGGCGGCAGCCTCCGCGTTGTCCTTCCTGATCCCACCGATAAGATCAGCGCGCCGGGCTGGGAATGAAACGCGCTGGGTTTCTGGGCCATCCTGGGGCCCCCCAAGTCCTGCTCTGGGCAGCAGGCCTCGGCGCCTTCCAGCCGCCTGGTAGTGAGTGCGCGCGAGCTGAGGCCTGGGCTCAGGAGGCAGCTCAGGCCGGGCCCCAGCGGCGGCCCGAGGCCCCTTGCGAGGCGCCCGCCCGGCCCTGCCCCACGTCGCGTCTGCCTGGAAGCGACCCCCCGAACGCGGCTGCTGGCCATCAAAGGCAGGCCAGCCTCCTTCTCCAGCGGGGATTATTTTTGTTCGGTGCCGTCTTGCTGAGCTTTGTCGAGTGCATCTCCAAACAGGATGCGTGCCCCTTGCAAGGCACGGCTACGATCCCAGTGCCACACAATTCCCCCTCCGGCAGCACTGGTGGTCAGGAGGGCAAGGCCCAGAGCCGAATCCGAGAGCAATGCACGCTGCAGATTGGGCTGCTCTCCCCCTTTTGCTGCATTCCCACATTTCTCAGGTTTGCCAATCCACTCTCTGCGGCTCTGCAGCTACGTTGACTCACATGGATATATAAATTGGCTGATGACAACCCCACGTTTGGCTCCTCTCACTAAAATCAACTYCTTTCAAACCAATGAGTCCGTAAGACTAGACTCCGTTCTATCAGCATAAAAGAAAATCTTCACATAAGATCACAAAGTACAAGTTGGGGAAAACTTGGATCAGGAAAGGAAGTTTATCAAGTCTGTGAAGTGCTTTAGAAGTAGAGAGGTTTCCATCTGGATAAGAAAGGTTTCTTTTTTTCTCTCTTTTTTTTTTTTTTTAATGCCTAAGAAGTCCGAGTGCATAGGAAATAATCTCTTTGTTCTTGGGCAACGTTATTTCCTTGGCTGAAAACTCTTCCAACTCCTCCAAAGAGGAGACATCTGGACTCCTGGATAGATTTTCCACTAGTTGACTGAAAACACTTGAATTTCTGTATATTTGCAGAAATTTCAATTTTCAAATTTTACTTWYTGRCCTGAAATATTATATTTTTAAAAASATTTTTAAAAAWACTAAAAGTAAAAATAATGCATTTTCTAGCACTGTAAATGATGTGAGGCATTTAAGGTGGGCATCTCCTGCTGAAGAGCTTCTCAGCTTTCAGACTCAACATCTGCACAGCATTTCTTTTGTAGGGCTCCCCACACACCCCCTTTCTCCTCCCCGTTTCGGCCAGTGAAGTCTCATCACTGCAGCTACTCTCGTTCTGCGGGGACGTCACCGGAGGACGGGCAGGAAGGGATACAATTTTGGGAAGGAGAGGAGCACCGAGCGAACCCGAAGAGCCGGGCGCTGTTTTCTCCCTCCAGGAGCATCGCGCACCAGGCAAAGGGCAGGGGGGCAGAAGGGCTGAACTTCCATGCAGGAACGGGTGGTTCTGAGCTGCCTTTTCCAGGGAAGGTTCATGGGCAATAGGGGCAACAAGAGCACAGTGATGGGCACTACTAYGAACTATTCGAGTTGTAAAAATATTTTAGTAGTATGGCAAGCAAAAAAAGGAGCGTRTCTCTTTTTACATCTCTTTATTTGTTAACTATAGACTAATAACCATTTATTACAGCCTCCTAGTTCATCTCACACACTGCACAGCATCTTATGTCCCTTCTACCCCTGCTGCCACGACAAAGAGATACTTTCTAATAACGCGGCCAGCTCCCTTACAACAAGGCAGCTATTGTAGCTCCCGCTTCCCTYGCGAGTTCTCGGCGTGGGGAGCAGCCCTGTTGCTAAAAGCTGCAGATCCGGGCGCACGTCCTGCAAAACGGCGGAATGGCGCTGGCTGAACCGTTCTCTATCCCAGTCGAGGGAATAACGAGCCGGGGAAAAGAGGCACTCACAAAAGCCAGACGGGCAGCAGCTCGGCCTCGGGTCGGCAGCGGCCCATCAGCCAGCAGGGATGCGCTAAACCCTCCCGTTTCCCGCAGTTTGTGGCAAGGGGGCTCCCCGGGACGGACGATGCTGAGCGGAGCTTCTCCACATCGAGCCCAACGCGCGGGTTGCTGCGCGCTCCAGCCCGGGTGCTCCTCCACTTCTGCTGGATTTGCTGCCCACGACTTCTAGAAAACACACGGAAACCATCCCCAACTATCACAACACGCTCCCATCCTGAAGGGACTYGAAGCAGCTGAAACCTCCTTTCCAAGATGCCCGGCAGAGGCATTTCTCCATTGTGCAATTACCTATTCAGCAGTTAAATAAAAGTGAAATATTGATTTAAAACAATGTTAATGGTCAAAGAATCATTAAGAAATCCTTCATCATAACTTGCCCAGCAGGCGGCCTGTAAAATGATCAAGAATAATGTGCTGGGTTCTGTAGCCACCAAGGTCAGTTTCTGCATACAAATCTTTGCAGGGGGAGGAGAGAAAAAAAAAAAGGACCTTCAGAAAGTGGGCCATTCATCTGCAGCAAGTTCAGAGAATTTCCAGCACTGTGAAAAGATATGTTATGCAAGCACATAGATGTATTCAGTGGGGGCAGGCTGAACCCGCTACATGGAGACTACAAAGGAGCCCTCCCATGGCTCATGAATAAGTCGAGGAAATGATCAGAAAAAAATGGAGAGATGTTTAGACAGATGGCCCACTTAAAATGCCTGGGACAGGGCATAAGCAATTTTAATGAAACTTTAGATCTACCATATAAATTGTTTCTTATTTTCTTCCCCCCGACACACACCTCCCTCCCCTAAAAAAAAAAAAACGCCTTCAGGAAAGGCAAGTAGAAATTCAGCAACTCAAGAGTCTATCTTATCATGTAAAGAAAACTAACAAATAAAGGGGAAGCCAGCCACCCCCCTTCAGAGCATTATTGGTTTAATAAGTTCACATATAAAGAAATATCCTTCAGAGAACCTTCAACTATCAGCTGAATATAAAAGCAGGGAACGGAGAGATTAAAGGAATTCTCTCCCGAAGTGTCCTGCCAAACAAAACACCCATCTAGGCGCGCTCTCCGAGCGAGCACTTTCAACACGCTCCAACATTAAAGTTCAGCGCCGCGCAGCGAAGATAAAAGCGGCCCTTCCACAGGATTATTTTAAGAACWAGAAATTATGTGGAGGGACCCTAAGAATCTGGGAATATTTTCGTCAGCAATCTGAGGTATTTTCTA